TATTATTAACCAGAATCTCTACAGTGTATTCTGTGCCCAAGTGCCAGGTAAAACATTATTCAGTACCTTAGTAGAAAGACCAGATGAATGAAAATTAAGAGAGAAAGAGTCAACATAAGTGGAGCTCGGGTCACTAAGATATTGGTGCTTTCAGACACAGATTTAAAAATGATTATGATTTATTTTTTAATAGACTATAGAATGAAGAACTTCAAAAACAATAAAAATATATAAGAAAAATATGTAGGTATTACTAGATATTAAAAATATCTATTTCTTATTTTAAAGAGAAAATTCACCAGGAAGATAAAGAAATTCTAAAATTATATACAGGCTGTTTCCAATTTACACAGTTCCCATATCCATAATAACATTAATAACAATTTTCTTAACTAAAACCAGTCTCTCAACAGCATGATTCAAACTTCAGTTAGCACATTATATGAACTGCAACTGAATGAAGTACGAACATCACTTCTAGCCTCTTAATCCAAATATCTCCATGCAAATAACAAATGGGCATCAGGACCCCTGACCAATCACATCACTTCTTTTAGAGTCTGTCACTGACTGGTCCCTGGGTATTTGTTATTTGGGTCACACAGACACTAAATATGTCATTGTGCTGATTTCYTGCTCCCAGCGATACACCGCTAGATACTGTGAACATGGATAATCAAAAGAGAGAACTGACCAATAAGGATGAAATTGTAGCAAAGTTTGATAATGCTACAAGTGAAATGTGATCCATGGCGAACAGATTGAAGAAGGAATCACTGACTGAGAATGTTGACACTGGTGCCATTCAAGAGACTCTCAACACACAGCCTGAGAGACTCAGTGAGTGGAATTGTCATCACTAACCAGAAAAGCAGTTTTGACAAAAAGAATGAACACATCCCAGAGGAAACAATGTCAGTTTGAAAAGTTCATGTTAAAGGAACTCTCACAGATGATGCATAACAGTGAAAGTGTGAAGAACAGCGGGCCAGAAACTGCGTAGCAAGGGATACGAGGATTCACCAAGGCACAGGGACACTGCTGGCTTTGCAATGTTATGTTGCATGATAAGAAAACAGGCAGGACGTGTTCCAGCTACTTATAGAACTTTTATTTTTTAAACAAGGAAATGCAACACTTAAATTCTCCATATTTCTAACATTTTGACTGATGGTAAACTAAAGAAATAGTAGTTTCACTGTTTTCTCATTGCCTAACATATGTATAACTGAAAAGTAAGAGGGCATTTAATGTTGTGGAAAAAACTTATAGGTCATGAAATGGTTGTGCTTCTCCCATGGACTACCATTTGATTTGCACAGTTTCAGCCTCATAGTCATTTGGAGATCCCCCCACACCATCAGTAAATTGAGGACTGCCTGCATAGTCACTAAGATAACCTCAAAGTGTATGAGTTAAAACTAAAGAAGAAATAGACAAACCCAAGATTTTGGTGGAAGATTTTAACATACATCTTTTAGGGACTGAGGGAAACAATGCAKAAAATATTGGGGAAATATATATAAAATGAAGATGATATAGGAAATTTTAAGAACATGATGGACCAACTTGACCTCCCAAATACACAGAATGCCATAGCGTCTGACAATTGCTAACTACATATTTCTTTATAGACAGCATTTGCCAGTATTGGCCATAACTCAAGTCTCAACAAATTTCAAAGGATTGAAACACATTAAAAAGACTGATTTATAGAATATCTGTAATTGAAACAAAAAGGTAACCAGGCATGGTGGTGTAGGACTATAATCCCAGCAGCTAGTAAGGCAGAGACAGAGAGGATCACAAGTTCAAGGCCAGCTTCAGCAACTTAGTGAGACCCTGTCTCAAAATGAAAAATGAGAAAGGCTGGGGATGTAGCTCAGTGACAAAGCACCCTGGCTTCAATCTCCAGTACCAAGACAAATCAAAAAAATGGTAACCAAAAATCCAAAAAATGTTTTAAACCCACTTAAAAATAATTCAAAGGTCATAAAAGAAATCACAATCAGAATTTTAAAACATGCTTGAACTGAATGGTAATAGAAATAAGGTATGTGGAAACTTGTGGAATGAAGCTAAGTTGTGCTTCCAAAGAAATGTAGGTCTTAAAGGAATGACATATAAAGGGGAGGAGTAAAAATCAGTATTTTAAGCATAATCTCAAGGTAGTAGAAAAAGAAAGCAAGTTAAAAGTAAACATAAAAGAAAAACCAATAGAGCTGGGGATGGAGCTCAGAGGTAGAGCACTTGCGTATCCTGCACCAGACACTGAAAAAAATAAACAACAGCAACAACAAAGGGGAAGACAATAATAAAAAATAAGAGCATACATACCTTTGGTTGATTGCAAAGACACATTAATGAAAAACTTATTAAAATGATAAATGCTTAGCAAGACTGAAAAAAATACATACAAATTAATAATAGCATGCTTGAAAAAAATATATCCCAGAGACATAGAAATAGTACAAAAAATAGCAAAATATCATAACAAACTTAGTTAAGTTTKATATTTTAGGGGGAAAAATAGGCCAATGATTTGAAAAATTCAACTTGCAAAATTGGTCTAAGAAGATATAGAAAACCTAAAATTTCCTATGTTTGTTTAAAACTTTTTTTAGGATATCAGAGATAATTTTATTTTTTAATTTTTAAAATTTTATTCTAATTTGTTACATATAACAGCAGAATGCAGTTCAATTCATATTATACAAGCAGAGTACAATTTTTCATTTTTCTGGTTGTATACACAGTAAAGTCACACCATTTGTGTCTTCATACGTGTACTTTGGGTAATGATGTCCATCTCATTCCACCGTCTTTTCTACCCCCATGCTCCCTCCCTTCTCCTCCCTTCTCTTTGCCCTATCTAAAGTTTGTCTAGTAGATATTTTTGAGAGAATATTTTCACTTGATTTTAGCCAAAGGCCAAGAAGTGATGAAAAAATATTTTCAGATGACTAGTTGTATTTAAATGTAGGATAAATATATCACAGAACAGTGTTTTCCAAATTGAAGGTGCATGTGGATCACCTGGGAATCTTCTTAAGATGCAGAATTTTATTCTGGGTTGGTTTAATTTATTATTATTTTTTTTCCTCAAAGAAAATTCCAAGCTCAGATAGCTTCAATGAGTAAGTACCTTAAAAATCAACAAAAACCTTACACAAAATATTCCAGAGGAGTGGAAAGAAAGACACTTATGTTAGGAGTCACACTCAGTCTTGAGCATAAAACCTGATAAAACAGTAGAATGAAGAAAATTAGGAGCCAAGCTCTCAGGGGAAAGAACAACAAAATGCCTTCAAGCAGACTTCAGCACAATTTCAAAAGGGGAATACATCACCTCTAAATTGATTTTTGTTTGTTTTTTCCTAAGGCATCTAAGGTTGGTTTAATGTTTTAAAATTTATCAGTATAAGCCAGGATATTAATAGAAAGAAGGAGAAATAAAATGATTATTTCAATAAATGCAGAAAAAGCATTTGATAAAATTTGACTCTTCCTTAGAAGACCATAAATGTTAATAAGAGAAATTRAAGTCTTAAACAACTGAAGGACTATATTAGAAGACTCAGTGTTTTAGGATGAAATTTCTTTCAAAATGAATTTATAGCTCTAATGAAATCCCAGACAAAATTGCATTTTTTTTCACATGTGCAAATTGATAAGCTTATCCCTACCTCACACACACACAGAAATCCCAGATGAATTGTAAACCTGAACATGAAAGGTAAARCAATCACATTTCCAGAAGACAATATGGGAAAGCAGAACTTTTGTAATTTGTGACAGGCAAAGATTTACTACTACACTATACAAAATACTTCAACCCTACCACAAAAGAAAAGACTGTCTAAAGACGTCATTAAGAGTGAGGTACAGTTCTCAGGGAGTGCTGGAAGATACTAAAGAGCAAAGAGTTGCATAGGAGTTCATACGTAGAAAATGGCAAAATATCATATCAACTAAGAAGAAAATGACACACAACCCAATAAAAAATTGAGCACAAGACCTGACCATGCCTTTCAGAAAAGAAAAAGGAAAAAGATATACAGATGGCCAGTATAAATATAAAAGTTCCCAATTTCATTAACCATGCAATACAAATAAAAACCATGGAGGAATACCTTGACATGGTCAACAAAAAGGTTAAAATTAATACTTAAAATCCTAAGTATTGATGAAAAGGTGAAGTAATTAAAACATAAACTTCTGATAGGAGTACAAATTAGTACAACCACTGTGGGAAATTATTTGGGATTATCTACCAAAGCTGGCCTATCAGTGATCTATCATTTCTAAATATATTCATCAGTTTACATATGTTCACTAAAAGAAATGTACAGCAAAGTTTTATAGCAGAACAATTTTTAATAGTAAAAACTGAAAAACTAGGCATTATCCAAGTATTTAATATATGAAGATAACCAACAATATGGGCATTAGAATAATAAAATGTATCGCAAGTTCAAATATTGGAAGACTGCATTGCACTGAAAATTAACACTACCACCAGGGCAAGCAGTCAGAATTAAGTTGCATGAGAAAGACTCATACACAAGGGATATTGAGGTAAAGTTTTTCTAATAAAGTTTAAATAGGCAAAACTAATCTATGGTGATAGAAATAAAAGTAGTTGACACTCCTATAGCCTAACAATAGATAAGGCCACAAGAGAGCTGGGAATAGCTGATCCATGGGGTGGCTAGAGAGCATGTTCCACTCCTCCAAATTTACTGAGCTGTGTGTTTCTGATTTTTGCACTTTTCTGTGTGCATGCCACTTAAATACAGTGATCATGTGGACAGAAGTCCAAAATTCAAAAAGAGGTGAAAACAAATTCAAGATATAAACTCTTGGAGATAACAAAAGGAAATTTCCTGAAAAACAATTCAAATGGAAATTTTACATGCACACACATGCACTCAGGTGTGTAAGTGCATACACGTGCACTCCTATCTATAACTTTCACAGAAAGCACTGGGGCCACTTACTTTAAGCCAAACCTCATCTTCCTTCTCCAGGATACCTTCTGGCTGCTCACTCCCTTCATCCTGAGGTCTTTTTCCATTGGTAACACAGGGAAACCAGCCAGGAAGGGAATGTTGCTTGGGTAAATCTGGATGGTGTGATGTGCAAATCTGAAATGCAATCAAAACTTAAGTGTGGAATGTAAAAGAGAAGGAAAGACAATAAAAGTCTTCAGTGCAAAACCAAGTTGTTACTCTCCTCCTGGGTTCCTAGTAGTTCCATTATTGGAAGAAAAACTTTTCTCAATGTAGAATTTCTCAATGTTCTCTGTTAGCCTCAAGATATAACTTGCTCGGATAGAAAAACATAATGACAACTCTCAATGCACTAGGGATCTTGCCCAAATAATAGTTCTGGCAGATTTCAGGTAACTGTTCCAAAGATTAGCCATAGAAGTCTTTCAGGGATAATGGTTAGGTCTTCACCTTGTCTGAATAAAGCAGACAAGAAGCAAAACTCCAGGACACTTCTTCTACTTCACTTAGGAAAGACAGCAGGTTAGACTGAAAGCCACTTGAGAGAGCTGTCATTAACTTAGAATCTCCCAATTCCCTAGCTTCCTGTCACTAGGCAGGAAATCTAAGGAGAAAGATGGCAAATTAGGCAAAGAGAGGGTGGCAGAAAAGTCTAGTTGCCTGATCAGATCTATTTCCCTTTACCTTCTTATTAACCAATTCCAACTTTGTTCAAGTTTATTTAGTTCATAAATACTCAGGGTTCCTTACCACTAAGCTTGACAAAGTGGCCTAGATCTAACCAATAACATGGGTGAAGGCTTACAGTGTTGAACTTCCAGAAAAGCTGCCATTTCCCCTGCAAATGGAAAGGTCTGCTGGCATGCACCGATTTCCCTTTGGCCAGCAGCCTTCTTCTGCTTAAAATGCTGACTTCATGTGGAGGGGGAGCAGCAGGCATGATAAGAGCAGGAGGAAGAAAACTGCAAGCCAAGGATGAAAGATCTGGAATCTAGGAGGCAAGTGGGGCCTTGAACAGTCTCTGTGGAGATGTCTCCTTGTGTATAAAATGCAACTATTTCATTCTGGCCTGAAATGCTTGAAGGACTCTCTCAATTCTGTGAAAAGACTATATTGCCCATCATTAGGATGAACAGAGGAGTCTATTTGGCAGTGGAAGCATCTAGAATGACAMCCAAGAGTCAAGAACCTTTAATCTTCTTTTAGTATTCAACTATAATTTATAAAGGTCAGTATAACATCTTAGAGTCCACAGAGGATGTCCTATCTACTTAGCTGGATATTCAGCAACTATATACCTAAGGATTTGCTTTTAGGATTTCTCCAATAATAATGATTATCATTTAAATAACAGTGTACTTTAAATCTTATTGGATCCTTATATTAAATCATTTAAATAACAGTGTACTTTGAATCTTATTGGATCCTTATATTAAATCTTTCAGTTAAATGCAACAGATACTAACATTTATTGAGTCCTGAGAAGATAAGTAACTTGCCATTACTCATCACCAATAGTGTAACCCAGATCCCCTGACTCCTTACTGTTGTTCTCTATTATTTTGAGATAAATTGTCTCAAACACAGAACCCAACTATAATTTCTGACATGTGTACTCAGGAGTGAAATTGTGAGATGCATGTCTACCTTGGAATCAGAAGTCCCTAGATGAAGCCAGGGAGGTCAAGTGGGGTGAACGCAAAGGGAGGGACTTCATGGCTAATCTGGAATCTTTCCACTTAACATGTTCTGAGATCAGTGAGGACAAAATTTGGTGTCAAAATCTAGAATATCCAGTCATAGTGGCACTGGGAGGCTGACGCAGAAGGATCCCCCGTTCAAAGCCAGCCTCAGCAAAAGCGAGGAGCTAAGCCACTCAGTGAGGCCCCATCTCTAAATAAAATACAAAATAAGGCTGGGGATGGGATATGGCTCAGTGGTCGAGTGCCCCTGAGTTCAATCCCCAGTACCAAAAAAAAAAAAAAAAAAAAAATCCAGAATACAACGTGAGTGCCCTCTAAGTATGTGGATGCCTCACTTCACAAAACAGTTCATCTGGCTTCATTTACCATGGAATGAGGCTCTCCTGTTACCAGGGAGACAGGACACTTCTTCTTGTCCTCACGAGAAGAGAAAGCCTGGGTGGCCCACTGGTCCAAGTATCCTTCAGGAGTATGGAGGCCGCAGTCCCTGATGCCGGTTTCCTTCTCAAAAGGCTCACAAATCCCATCTCCCTCATAYGTGTAGCAAAGGCTTGGTTCCCCTGCCGAGAAATGTGTATGACACAGTGTTTTTATATTTCGTGGGGAAAAAGTCAACATGAGAGTGCTGCAGCATTTCTCCTGTGGCCCCCTGAGGTCTGGTGATTGCCAGGTAGCCTAGCGTCCACCCCAAACACACATACTACCTCTCCAAGGAAGAAGGCTCCTTTCTCATTCCTTTCATTAGAATCCACCTCATGATAAAGTCATAGAAAGGGTGGGGACTGGGAAGAGAGGACAGGCAGAACAAAAGCAGCTGTAGGTCGAGTGTGGGAAGAAATTTTAAGTTAAATACTTAGAGGAAGTTGGAGGTACAAAAGAAGGAAGAAAAAGAACAAGGAATTCAAAAAATGGAGTATTGTTATTATATGCTTAAATCCCCTTTATAGTCTTTGAAATATTAAAATATTTAAGAGGGTTGTCCATTGAATTATTTCTTTTAATCATTTTTTGGATAGTGCTTCTCTCATGTAATTGCTTTGAAACTAGATGCATGGGTTTGAATCTTATAAGGTGTCCTGTGTTTTCTTTCTCTCATGTAGGACAATCATGTGAGGTGTGCGGTTTCTGCGTGTTTCTTTAGGGGGAAACCTGAGTCTCAGCACATCTACGTGACTTGCTGAGGCACGCTTGCCCCCAGGGGCAGGTTCACTTCCTCCTGTGGCTCTGTACTGTCTCCTGCTGAGGCAGCAGACAAGTGAGAGGGGACTGTGGGGGGCTGGTGGCTGCAGAGCAAGCTTGCGGGCCCTGGACAGGCGCCGCACTTGCAGGGTAACTCCCGCTAAGTGAAGAGTACTGCCTCCACACAGACAGGTAGGCTTGCTTTCTCCACAGGTGAAAGCTGAGAAGCAGTTACGAAACCATAGATTAAGTTCTGTTGTTCTTGAACCAAGATACTGGACAATTAATATTAAGTGCATGGTTCTTATTTCTCATACCTACCTAAATAGTAAGACATTAAAATAAGATCAAGATACAAAATCAACACCAAGATGCATGTTCAGTAAGATCACTACTAAAGCTCACCGTTACTGTACCAGGCTTTCTGTCTGTATGTCCTCATGGCAAGCCCACGGGGCTACTCCAGTGATTTGTCAGCAGCTCAGCTCCATGGTGACTCTATGTCTGTGCCCAGGCAGAACACTACACAGGACGCCATGCTGTTTGAGGCCCTCTGCTCCTGCATTCCATCCAACCTATGACCTACTCCAGCCTCTCCCCAAAGTGCCTTTGGAAGGACTTTCCCATATAATTCCCATCTTTCTCTCTTTATTTATAGTAATCACACGCACACACACACTCACACACACACACACAATGTTTTTCTATTTACAACCCAGTGACTGCTTTTTTCCTGTTGCCTATTATTTTTAAACATGGAATTAAAATTGTTGTCATGTTGTTTTTTCAAATCTATCTGAAAACAATAGACTACTTTAAAAACATATTTCCAATGGTTGCATCAAATCTAATCTTTTTTTTAATATTTATTTTTTAGTTTTAGGTGGACACAACATCATTATTTTTTATTTTTATGTGGGGTTGAGGATCGAACCCAGCGCCCTGCGCCTGACAGGCGAGCACGCTACCGCTTGAGCCACATCCCCAGCCCTCAAATCTAATCTTTTGAAAAACTAATGAGATAGAACTATATGCTTAACATAAAATGAGCTTATTATTCCCCCAAAAAGATGTTTAATGGTGGAACACACTGCTGTAAGTTTACCCAGTAAATAATTTAAAGATAGTCTTAAATATAGTATTTAAGTATAGTTAAAATAATTTAGATATAGTCTTACTGGAGTTAAAAGCTGAGGAAATATGAGTCAAACTTTATGGGATCCAATGCGATAGAAAAAGTAAAATCTACTCTTAGGTTAAATGAGACTTGAGCCGCACTGGGGGAGACACAGTGTTTGGGGAATGTATGTTTATTTTCAATATGAGACCACTATGTGACTACCAAAAAGAAACGATGCAAAGAGAGGTGGCATTAACAAATACTTGTGCACAAGGGGGAGGAAATCAGCTCAGGGTATTCTGCACAGTCAAACCACATCTGGAGTATTGGATTCCTTTCTGGGCATTGACCACACAAAGCATGCCAGTTTGGGGTAGAGAGGGAAGGGTCTGGAAACCTAATCACATGAGGGGATGTTTGGGTTGGCAAGGAGAGTAATGAGGAGGCATTTGAAATATCTGAATGGTAGTCAAATAAAACAGGGAAAAAATGTATCCTCTGTAGTCTCATAGCAAGGAAAATGCACTTGATTGAACACAGGAAAGCTGAGCTCCAGGGCTGGCTCTGCAGAGACCTTGTTGTATGCCCTAGGATGAGTCACCTAAATGTTCTGAGCCTCAGTTTACAGACTGGAAAAGGGAAAAAATTATAATAGTAAAGCTAAAGGCATTCTGCACTCTTGAATTATGTAAGTAAAAGCTAGGGGTCTCTTCCTCAGGAATTGGTAGAAGGGGTTTCTATAAGAGTGTGAAGCTAGATAGTATCATTAACATATCAGTTCTCTTCAAGACTCTTGCATATGACAGGCACTGAATTTGTGTTACTACTGAATACATGTACATTGTGGGCATTTGTTTGTTGAACAAATATTTGGATAGATAGATGGATGGATGGATGGTTACTAACATTCTACAATTTAGTTCTTGCTCAAGAGAGCAAGGGTATTTGTATGTTCTATATGTACCTGAAACCTTAATAAATTCTACATAATTGAAATCATAGGCTATTTCATCTTGAGATTTGGAGACACTGAAGTGTTTTTAAACACACTGCTGTTTAAAATAACTTTGCTGTATGGTTGTGCTTCACAGACTTGCTGTAATGCATGCCTCTGGGGATGGAAAATACTGCACTGAAGAAACCTTCAGCAATGGCTTGCATCAGAATTGGGAGAAGTGCTGTAGACTGGCTCCCGGGCCCAAGGGTCTAGAGCCAGAGTCACCTCGCCATGATCTATCACCAGAGATTCTCCTGGACTGAAATGATATGGCCTTCTGTTGTCCTTCTGAGCTTATCCATTAAGTACAGACTCAGGGAGTCAGCCTGCACTCTCTTTGGCTTGGAATGTTTCCCTACCCCTATTTGTATGTAGAATCCATGTCATTGTGCTACTTATCTGACATTTTAGTGTTAAATTTGAGGGCCAAAGAAAAATCCTTGGCAACATTAAGCCAGGAAACACTAAAACCTCATAGTTTGCTATAGTTTCAATCTAGAAATGTCCCCCCAAAGCTCATGTTTTGATAACATGGTCCCCAATAAAGAGATTTACTGAGGGAGGATTGACTCACATCAATGTTTTTCTACATGGCATCTAGAACACAATCTTGGAGGGCAGTACTTTTATATTTCTATTTTGAAGATAATCTACGCATATTGTGTATCATCTTGTTCAGTGCTGCCCAATAGAAATATAATGAAAGTTACAGATATAATTTTCAATTTTCTAGTAGCCATGAAGAGTAAAAAGAAGCAGGTAAATTACTTTTAATAATATTATAGCCACCTCAACATATCTAAATGCTATCATTTTAATATGTAAGTAGTATAAAATTATTGAGGTTTTTTTTAGGCAATGATGAGAGCTATAACCTCCTCAGTAGATTAACCCATTTTATTGATTAATAATTTGAATGGCCTACTGGGTGGTAGGCAGGTGAGGCATGGCTGGAGGAAGTAGGCTATGCCTTTGGGGGTTATGCCTTATGTAACTAGCTCCTCATGCAAGTGTGTCCACCCCCACTTCATGTCTGCCTTGAGCTGAGCAGATTTCCTCTTCTTCCATGATGTTCAGCCTCATCTCAGGCCCAGAGCAGGAGTCAGATACTGTGAAGTGAGAACACTGAAACTGTGAGCCCCAAATAAACTTCTCCTCCTTTAAGTTGTCCTTATCAGGTACTCTGGTCACAGCAACAAAAAAACTAATGTGGTTTAATTGAAATTCTAGAGCTGTATTCCCTTGGTTCAAATCCTGACTTGACCACTTCTAGCAAATAAGCACATGCAAGTTATTTAAGCCATCTATGTCTCAGTTCCCTCATAATCATGCTACATATTGAATGAGATAATGTATGTGGAATACTTAGTGCCTGGGATACAATGGAAATATCAAATGTCATTGCTATTATTGTTAACATTAAGCTATATGTTAGAAGATATTAGAGACTCACAAAAATAATTCCCAGGGATGCTTCTAAAAACAAGTTATAATTCTTGCCCGGAACCCCTGAACTCACCGACACAGTTGAAGCCTTTCTCTAGCTCACATGTCCTTGAACAGCCATCTCCATTCAGCAGGTCTCCATCGTCACACTCCTCTCCCAGGCTCCTAGGAATATATATAAACACACTCAAAATGTTCTCTCCTGTTCAGTTACCATCATTTTAATTTCTTAAATCTCCCCATTACATAACAATAAGTCAAGCTGGGTACAGCAGGAGTTAAGAGAATTGTTTTACGGGGGAAAAATGCATTCAAAGTGATACAATTTCAGCAAAAATTGTTTATTGGTATGCTCAGTGGGTTGTGGAAATTCCTAGAAGTTAAGTAGCCCATGTCTCAGAAACATCTAGAAAATCCCCAGGAGAGTTCTTATTGTGTTTCTGGTAGAGGATCTTGAACTTAGAAAAGGCTTACTAACCCCAGGATGAATAGTCTTAGAAATTGTTCATTTGTAACCTACAACTTGGCTAACCTTATTAGTTCCAACAGTCTAAAAACAGTAGCATTGCTAGACACTACTAGTCAATGATCTSAGATAGAAATCAAGAAAGCAATGACATTTACAATAGCTACCAAAAGATAAAATACCTAGGAATAAATTTAATCAAAAAGTGGAAGATCTCTAAAATGAAAATTATAGAATATTGGTGAAAGAAATTGAAAACACACATACACACACACACACACACACACACACACACACTAAATAGCCAAAGAAATCTCAAGCAAAAAGAACAAAGAAGGAGGCATAATACTTTAAAATATACTACACAAAACAGTATGGTACTGGCATAAAACTGACCCACAGACCAATGGAACAGCATAGAGGGCCTAGAAGTCAACCCATACAACACAGCCAACTGATTTTCAAGAAAGGTGCTGACACATACTGGAGAAAGGGCTTTTCAATAAATGGTGCTGGGAAACTGGATGCCCCAGGCAGAAGGAAACTTGACCCTTCTCCCTCATCAGTCATAAAAATCAACTCCAAATGGATTAAGACAAGTGTAAGACATGAAATTACAAGAAGAAGACATAGGGGAAATGCTTCAGGACGTTGGAATGGGTGAGGATATTTTGGACAAGACCCCAAAAGCACAGGAAACAAAAGCAAAAATAGACAAATGGGATTACATAAAAGAAAACTGGTGCAGAGTAAATGAATCAGAACAGAGTGAAGAGATAACCTCCAGAATGGGAGAGAATATCTGTGAACTATGCTTCTGACCAGGAGTTAATATCCAAAACGAATAAGTTGATTAAAATGGCAATAGACTTAAATAGACATTTCTAAAAAGAAGACATACCAATGGCCAACTTGTATGGAAAAATATTCAACATCACTTATCACCAGGAAAATATGAAAACCACAATGTCCTCACTCCAGTAAGATTGAGTATTATTTTTTTTAAGACAGAAGATAAACTTCTGGTGAAGATATGGAAAAAGGGAACCCTTGCACAACATTGGTAGAAATATAAAKTAGCACACCTCTTAAGGAAAAAAGTACAAAGGTCTCTCAACATATTAAAAATAAAACTATCATATGACCCAGCAAGCCCACTACTGGGTATGTATCCAAAGAAAATGAAATCAGTATGCCAAAGAGACATCTGCACCACTGTGCTTACTACAGCACTATTCAGAACAGCTAAGAACAGAAAACAACCAAAGTATCCACTAACTGATGAAAGAATAAGGAAATATGGTACATATACACAAGGGAATATTATTCAGCCATAAAGAAGAACAGGACCCTGTCATTTGCAGTAACATGGATAGAACTAGGGATCAATAAATAAAATAAGCCAGTCACAGAAGGATTAATGCTGCATGATCTCATTCATATGTGGAGTCTAAAATAGTTAAATATTTGATCTCATGGAAGTTGAGAATAGAATGGTGGTTAGCAGAGGCTAAGCAATGGAGGGATGAGGGAGGGATAGGAGAGGTCAATCAGTGTGCACTAGTTACAGTAAGAAGTTCCGATATCTGTTGWCGGTGAAGTAACTATCAATAATAATCATGCACTCTATATTCAAAAAGCAAGAAGAAAGGATTTTGAATGTTTTCACCATAAGGAAATGGTAAAAGTATGCTTAACCTGACTTAAACACTACACAATGTGTACATGTATCAAAACATTACATGGTACCCCGTTAGTATATACATTTCATTCTTTATGTATCAGTTAAAAATAAATTTAACTTAAAAAATCATTTGACCATTAAGAAAAGGGGAGGGGTTCAAAAAAATCCCATGTGGATTTTTTCTATTCATTTTTATCTGACATTTCTTTATATTTTAATCTCATTGTATTTCTCTATCTAGATGTAGTTGCAAAAGTCGCAGTTTTGCAGAACTCAAATCTCAGGTCTGTTTACTACCCAGAGACTTAGGTGGTGGCCCCATTGCAGCTATATCTCAGTCTAGGACATCTGTTAAAGATTCAAATTCTATTCTAACTCCCTACGATCACCTGGTGGAAACTACCATATATTTCAAGGGAGAAACAAGGCTGAGAGAAGAACAACGTCATTTTGGACCTCCCCGCTAACACAACTCATATAACTACACCSGGATTGAGATGGGTAAAATAGTTTAGAGTGTAGGAAACATGAAGCATGTCTGATGACAAGACATGTGTGGTTTGAGTGCTTATGAAAGAACTAAAATTTGACTGTTCTAAATGGTGCCATTTTTCTCCTTGATTTCATCATGTCCAAAAGTGAATACGTATTTTAACCCATCAAAATAAATTTTGTAATATGTACAGACTTTCAGACACAAGACATCATTAATAGCTCCAACCATTATTTAAAATGTATCTCATGGGATGGATTAACAATTAAATAATTACCTATGAGAATGCTTTAAAATGAAATTGAAGGTACAATGGATGCAATAGTGTAATAACCATGTTTTAAATGGTAAGCTTTTAAGGGAAGAAAGGATAAAAATAAAAAATAATAATTTAAGAAAACACTCTTTTTCTACATAAGGCAAWGGAGTTCAATGAAAAGAGGCTACACTAGGGACCTTATCGGATGAGTGATCCCCGAGAAGTCTCCGAAATCTTTGCACCTTAGTCGGCTCATCTATAGAGAGAGGATTGACCCACATCAATGTTTCTCTACATGGCATCTAGAACACAGTCTTGAAAGGCAGTACTTTTATATTTCTGTTTTGAAGATAATCTACGCATATTGTGTATCATCTTGTTCAGTGCTGCCCAATAGAAATATAATGAAAGTCACAGATAATTTTTAATTGTCTAGTAGCCATGAAGCATAGAAAGAAGCAGGTAAATTACTTTTAGTAATATTACAGCCACCTCAACATATCTAAATGTTATCATTTCAATATGTAATCAGTATAAAATTATTGAGGTATGTTACATTCTTTTTTCAATTTAAATACTTGATCTTTATGTAGAACTCATAAAATATGTAGTTGAAAGAGTAGATTCACCCACCCAAGTTATTCCAAGTCTTTAAATTAAAGGTTTTCTAATAACTGAATCGAGTTCCAGTTTTTAAACTACATTACTTAAAGTTAGATACAATCGAATATTCAGTTTCTTAGTTGTATTTGCCACATTTCACAGCCTCAGGAGCCACATATGGCTGGCAGCTCCTGTGCTGGAAACACACACCAAGGGATCATCTTCTGAGGAGCTGCTCTAAATTCCAAGGGGCTTGCTGTGCCTGTTTTGACAGTCTTGTTGACAAGTGGTACCAGGTGGGTGGGATGGTTTGTCTGGCTCCTGTCTGATTTACATGTAATGGGTGTTTCCAGCTGAGGCAGAGCTAGGATTCAGTGATCATCTTCTTGCTGGGTGTCACAGCAGTCCTTCCTCCACACAGAGAGAGGGTACATGCATACGGCGAAAAGTATATTTTGACAAAGAATTTATACAACCCAGTAGTCAAAAAGTGCTGCCTCAGTTGAAGCTACTTCAAGACACAGGAACAAATGTGAATACATAGTTAGGAAGAAGGTTCTGCACACTGTTCTGCCCCACAACACCTAGCAAATGTAACACCTTGGGGCCTGAAGGTGGCTACATAAGAGATTGGCCTTCACAAGCCTATTACTTAAGGCAGAGTGTTTTGTTCAAGGAGGGCTCTGCCAGTGCAGCAGTCAGAACACAGCCACCCAGACACCTTGACTTATGGGCTGCAGGCCTGAAATGAGACAGCCAGAAATGGAAACCAATAGCAACAGTTGGTCTCATTCTGTGTGCATAGGAAGCCTCCCCAGGGAGAAACTGGATTTGAGCAGGGGAGATGCGATAGCAGGCTGAGGTGGGAGAGGCAGTGCACTAGCAAGGTTTGTGTAATAAAGTGACCTCATTTGCTTCCATGTCTGAAAGAGGTCTGGGAATGTTTAGTGTTTATACGTGTATGCAAAGGAGTAAACTTACATACAGCTTAAGGATCTTAGAAGACTGAGAAGATAAACAATGTTCAGTGATTGCTAAATGATGGGATGGGATCTCAGAATTGATTCCCATTAGGGCCATTCACCTGGTTTGGGAAATTAAAAATAGGCTACCTTAATAGAATGCAGATTCTAAGACAAATCATAGTAACTGGCCTTCCAGCCTCCTCCTCCCAGAAGATTTAACATAACTAACAAATCAGTCTACATGTGCATTAAGGATGCTTTGATGTAGAGTTGACAAACTGCCCTGGTTTTCCTGGGACTGAAGATTTTTCAGTGCTAAAATTGGAAAACAGAATGAATTAGTTCCCTATGTTGATATTGAAGGACAACAAGAAAGGAACATGGTATGTTAAGAAACCAAAGAGGTGTATTCCATCTTTATGTTGGTGATGTTTACAGAAAGGCTGGAAATTACATTTTAATTAGTTTTTTCAGGGGTCCAATGAGCAACTCACTTTGCTCAAAGCCATTTGGTAAAATCAAAATCATACAACTTATTAGTATAAGGTTATTAGTAAGGGTGGGCCATTGGTCCAAAATATATCCCCTTTCATCATCATTTGACATGGAGCTTTCTGCATGAATTCCTACCCTGAATAAGTGCCACAGTTATTCACTGAGGCTTTAAGGGGAGCCCTGGAGAATCAACTCCAATATCCCAATGCTCTGGGATGAGCTCTAGATAAAAGTGAAGAGGTGTCAGTGGCTTCTCAAGCTCATCCCAGGTCCCAGATTTTGTAATCTTCACACTAGAACCACCCAGGGCCTTGTCTCTACGTTTCTAAACAAGCCAAGCTCAAACTGGAGGCTAAACCTTTTATGACCTCGCTCACATACTCCCACACACGTAATACTTACCCTGCCACCTTCCCATCTCCACAGTAAGGAGCACCGTGGATGTGGTACAGAGGAGGTGAAGCTTCTCCCAATTCTGGTCCAGCCTCAGCTTGAACTTGGTACTGATACATCTGCCCAGGTATAACCTCCCTGTGGAAACCAATGGGTTGGTGACCATGACCTCCTAAAAATGGGCCTTTTGCAGATGGTTTTCAGGAATGTAAGTGAAATGTTATGGGGAACATAAGTATTAAACATACCACAATTATCTGAAGCAAAGATCAGGGAAAAATTGTATAAAGCAGCATGTTTTAATCCATATTTATTTCTGTATTCCCTTAACATTCATATAGTAGATGTACAATAAGTGTCTGCTGAATTAACACAAAAGGTAAATGTCCCAGACAATCTAGAAGAAGGGTATGTGAAGAGTGTTTTAACCAAGTCAAAACAAAACAACCATTGGAAAACCAGTGTTCTATATCTTCAAAGTAATCAGCCTGGAGAGGAAAGCTGAGGAATATGGGCTCAGTTGAGGCCATTCTTGGGTCTGTGGATTATAGTTCTCTTAGCTCTCAAAGGAATTCTTGTCTTAAGGAGACTTACCCTTAGGGGTAAGAGCAACTATCTCAGAGAAGAAGGTAAGAACACCTCCCATCACCATTTTGAGGAGGCAAAAATTCATGGTTAGAAAGGCATTAAATTAATGTCTATCTACAATACCAGGAACGTGGCTGCAGCAGTTGATATGAGAGTTGGAGGGAGTTTCTCAGACTATCTAAAGCCTAAGTACACATATCAGGTGGAGAAAGTGAGAGGCAGGGCACTTAGAAGGGGGAAAGTTCTGGAAGGGAGCTTCTAGTTCCAAAGACAAATTCTGCCTTCATCTTAATTTTGCCCAGTGCTTTCCCTGATTGGAAATCTACCACCAAAGTCAAGGTAGGAGGAGATTACCCAGGAAGACAGGATTTCATGGGACTGCTAAGGCTGTCATTCATGGCAGCCATAAATCCAAGACCCTCTTTGCTTTTTTTTTGTGGTGCTCGGGATTGAACCCAGGCCCTTGTGCACATGAGGCAAGCACTCTACTAACAGAGCTATATCCCCAGCTCAGACCCTCTTTTCTTGAACAGACTCTTCAACTCAACCACAAAGATTTCCCACCCTCACCTGATGTAGCAATAGCAAACAGGAAATGTTTTGGGATTAAAAAAAAATACCTTTAAAAACCTCTGTACTGGTTTTTAGGAATTTTAATAGAAAAGACACTCAAATGTTAAAGACTTTTAAATTTTCAAATTAGCTCTCCTTTTAGGGGGTGGAGGAGCAAGCTTCTCATGAGAGTGCTGGATATTTTTAAAGCAAAATCAATTTTATTTTATATTCTAATCAATGCTGATTGTTTCCCTTTATAGGGGTTTTCTGTGGGACTTCTTGTCCAACCATGAATAAAAGTTGGACACTGTTATGTGGCCGAGAAAAGGATGGATGGAAACACAGGCTTGTGTTTACTGTTCTTGGGGGAAAACTTAGCAGCAGGCCTTCAGTGCTCTGAGTTTGTAAAAGGCAGTGTCCTAACTGAGGAAGCAGGGTGGAAATGCAATTCAGTTGGGAAATCAAATTTAAATCCTGGTCTGCCATTCACCAGCTTGCAAACCAAACTGAAGTTCAGCCTCAGTTTTCTATCGATAAAATGGGATGTCACTAGCCCTAAACACTATGTGCATATGCATGTAACACCATGTGAACTGCCTTGTTAGAGAAGTTCAAAAGTGATATTTTTCTTTGTACATATACCTGTGATATGTCTATATGTTCTCCCATTTGCATTAGGTTTTTCATCATTTTACCTTCTTTGAGCTCTAGTTAAAAGAGCAAATATGGGAAGAAAAATGTATTGGAGCTTAAGATGAACATTTTCTTTAGATTTTATAGCTGCGGTAGTGTGCCAAAGGCCACCCCATGCAAGATGCCCCTCTTAAGAGTCTACTTTGCCAGCTCTTGAAGCTGGAGTTGTCTGTATGGCTCACTTGGGCTAGTGGAACATTGTCTTGAGCAACATAAAGCAGAGATTTGAGACATGCAGGCCACTTGGGGCTTGCCCTCCCTGCTGCTGGGAACCTTTCCACCACCATGAGAAGCAGCCCAGTCTGGGACTTGAGAGACCAAGCAGAAAGAAGCCCTCATCTTCCCAGYATGCCAGCTGTCTCTGCTGAGGCTTCCAATGTGTGCACGAGGTCATCCCAGGCCATCTGGCTCCAGCCAAGTCCATCCAGACTAGAACACCCAGCCCACCCATAGCATCATGAGAAGTAATGCTAGCTGTTCTAAGTCACTATGTTTTGTCATGATTTCTACCATGGAAAAAACTGATATAGCACCTCTAACAAAACTTTATTTTTCCCTTGTTCTGCCCTCAGGGCAGTCTCTAAGGAATTATGAGGTGAAGGGAATTTGTCTTTGGAGATACCCGTCTCCAAGTACAGATGTTGAATTCTTTGTAGGTAATCCCTTTATCTGAGTCTGTGTCCCCAGTACTGAGCAGACTGTGCCAGGAACACAGCAGAACTCACTAAGCRTAGGAAGAAAGAACAGAAATAAGAGAAAGGAGACTTGGAAGAGAAGAAAATAAGAAGAGAGAGGGAGAGATGAGAAAAGGGGGAAAGAATGAAACACACGTTGTGAGTGAGTCATGGGGCAGACTTTGGTGCCTGCAGGGCCTGTAGCCTGAGCTATAGCAGAGCTGACTGTAACTTGTGAATTTTACAGAAGCCATGTCAGATTATTAGAAAGCTACAGCAAGAATCAGAAAGCAAATTGTCATGGGACCAAAGAATCTAATTCTGATGAACTTACTCTTGGCCAGTACATTCAGTCCAACTCAAAGACCTCATATACTAACCTCCTTTCCCCTTAATCATAATGATGGCCTCAGCAATCAGAACATCTGCTTGCCCCTTTCTCGGAAATATTTTTCATCTCAGACATGCCACTTGAGAATAAAATCCTCCCTGAGATTCTCAACATTTCTCCAGCTAAATGCATATCAGAAGATTACAAAGTGGAAATAAAAAAAAATAAAATTAAAAAGTGGTAATCAAATTGACTCCCAAGGTTCAGGAAGCCCCATGATTTGGAAGGCCTTGCAACCCAACTCACGTGTCTGTAAACTTCCTGCGAAGGTGTGTCACCACCATGGGCAAGCCGCTGGCAAAGGGTGGCTCCCGGAGAACCTGGTACCTTACAGGCCTGCAGCCAGAGCATAAGGGGCTGTGGGGCTGGGAAGTCAGGAGGGCCGCGTCAATCTCCATCCGCTCATCAAAGGTGTAGACTTTCACCCCTGAGACCTTCCCAGCCACGTGCAGTTTGATGGTGAGTGGGGTATCACAGAAAGTGTCTAAGGGACCCAGATGCACAGACTCCTGGTGTTCCAGCAAGATCTCTGTATCAAAGAGTGCCTGGGAAGAGTCCATGGAGAGGTAAGTGACCCAGAGGGTGAGGGTGTCGGCTTGAACTGGGTGTTGGAAGAGCAGCTCCAGGCTACAGCCTTCTGCAGGGCAGGGCACCGTCATGTTCATATGGTACAGGTGGAGCTCAGGACTCCAGGCCTGCAAGCTCGGCTCACAGGGCTGATCGACATCAGGAGGCCCTGAGGCAGGGGAGCAGAAAGGCACATCAGGAACTGCTACTAAAATCTGAAAATGACCCAGAACCCCCCAAATAATAATAATAATAAAATAAAAATYTTAATCCGAAAATGAATGAGTAGCCCGTATTAGCTGTCAGAATGAGGAAAGAAGGTGGAGAGAGCTTAGAATTCCTAGGGAAGTTGGCCAGCATAGCAGGTTGTGACTTAAGGACTAGTAAGGGCAAAGCATAACAGTAAAAGGAATGATGCTCTTGTCACTGTCACCTCCACCTGGTGTCCTTTAAGGGATTCAGCAGGACCTGGGAATGGGACAATCAGATCCCAGATGGAACCCTGAGACTGATGCAGAGATGTCAAGTCATGTTCTCCAGAAATTCTTGGGCAGAGGAGAATTGCATACTGAGTTCATTAATAATGTATGGTAAAATTAGTGCTTCTGAAGCCCAAGGTTAACTTCAGTTTGTCACTATCCTCTCTGTAGTGTACTTCATAAGACTTCTTCCATTCCTTAAGACCCCACTGTGGCACCTCATCTTCTCGACTGCTGGCCAGACTCTAAAACCATGTTTGAATTCTCCTGTGAGGTCAGGTGCATGTGAGCAGGTGGGAACTGCAGGGAGGAAATGCAAACACAGAGAGAGGACTGTGGGGAAAGGTGGAACTTGGTAACCAAGAGAAAATGTAATGGTGAAAAATAAAATGCAATAAGGTCAGCTCTGGAAATAATCCGTAAGAATGGGTTTTATTTCATTTCATGTGAAGGGAATTGAAGAGAATGTGTTGGATTAGAGGTCAGCRAGGTTAGGCTCCAGCGGGCACTGTGCCCTTACCTTAGCTAGGCAGCCATAGTAGGCACAGTGTTTTAAGCTTTGATTTGCTTGTTTACAAAATACGCACTAATATTTAACTTCTGCCCTATTAGGGGAGTGTAAAATATCTATACAATATTTCATAGAAATGAAGTAATTACATTTGCAAAAGTAGAATTATTTAGTCCTTCAGAATTTGGAAAATAAAGAATGGCCAAAAGCCCAGCAGAATAAGTTGAAACATGTATGTATGTGTGTAAGATGGTCCAGTAAGGACCATGTTGGTTTTTTTGCCAACATTGTGAGTTGATTGGTTAATTCATTAAAAACCATGTTTTGCATTACACCTGGTGCCAATCTAGGTGATGGAGACAAGAGTGGTGAACAAGAGTGATAACAGTCTAAGCTTCACCCATCTTACAACAGGTGATAGATGTAACAATTATTAAATGGAAGGACATAAAGTGTAACTTCAAGTAGTAATGGCATCTTTGAAGAAAAATGAAGGAATATAAAGGAATAGAGAATTATGAGGTGGGGATGGGAGCTTTTAGATTATGAAGCCAGAGAAGTTTTGACCAAGAACATGATAATTAAGGAAGGCATGCACTTGATTCAATTCTGTATTCCCTATAGCATTTAGAAATTAAATGGTGATCAAGAAGAGTTAAGTAAGTGCCATGAAATACATTTTGTGACTGCATTAAATGTCTGTGCTTGCTCTGTTGAGGGTTCAATTACTTTTACTTCCTGTATTTTAATTACGACCAGGTCCTTCACTCTTTCAAAGTAAAGGAAGATCAGTTTTTTCTCATCCTAAGTTTCCAGTGCTTATCTCAAATGCCAGTAAAGAAAAGGCCTTGAAAGCCAACCCAGGGGTGGCACTGGCTGTCAGAAGCTCTTTATTATAATTTCATATGAAAGGTGAAATAAAGGACCTGGTTTGCCTGAAGATATAAGAATTAGGACCCAGAACTTCAAATTCTTTCACCTATGCCAGATAAATTTAGAACACTTCCAAAAACTGAAATGAAAAAAATTCTGAGTTAATGAGTCCAACAGATATAAAAGTCCCAAACTAGATCAGTTTGCCACAGAAAGGGGACTTCTATGAAATGCCAGACTCTAAACGAGTCTACTGCAGCTATCCTACTGTGGCTCTCCATCCTCCAAGGAAATCTCTCATCTGAGAAACACAATCCATCCTGCGGGCACTTCCCTCCAGCTTTCTCCTTGAGGCTCTGTCACTTGGGTAACTGGAAGCCTAAGATGACCTCATGCAGATACTCTTAGGTCACTGCCCTTTATTTCTTGTCACAGTCAAGACTGCAAATTAATTTAAATAAGCCATGTTTAACACATCTTACTGGAGTCTTTTTTGGGTCTTAAGAATTATAAGTGGGCGGGGGGAGCAAAGACAAAAGATAACTATTAGGAAAGCTGCTGCAGATGTCAGAAGACATCAAGCCATCCATCAGGAGGTGCTAAAAGTCATGTCAACAGTATTTTCTGGTCTGGAACTAGAAAACGATCCATGCTGAAATTTGTYTTTGGATCTCTGATGTGCCTATGTGAGTGCGTATGTGACTTTTTGAGAAGTTGGAGGAGGGTCAGGAAAAGAGATAACGAAAAACATCTCTCTTGTAGAGCTTAGCTCATATTCAAAGCACAACAAGTACCAGTGATTAATGGACTCGTAAAACAGCATAGATGAGAACGATCAGTATGGAACACCTAGTCCACCCCACCCCCACCCAGATGCACAGGGCCAGAGTGTTAGTTCCCAGCAACTTGCCGTGCCCCCTGTCAGTCTCCTGATACAAAGGAGGAAGAGATCAGCTTACACTGCCATGTGACAAGACTGCTCCAGAGACAATAGGCATGCGGAACACCATTGGCCCTGTCCCATCTGAAGTCACCCCTAGTTCAGCAGAATTCTCTGTCTCTGTGTGCTGTATGCTAATCTCTGCTTTATCACAGCCATTGGGCCTCAGTGTTGTGTGCTTATGAGACATTTGGCACACAGATGCACCAGGCAGTCTTTCTAAGGCCCTGGAGACACCCAGCAAGACACACATACACACACACCCCTATCTCTCTCTCTCTCTCTCTCTCTCTCTCTCTCTCTCTCTCTCACTCACTGCCTGTTCCTTACCATGCCACTGCTCTGCCCTTCCTTTACCTTCACCCCCATTGTCAATGGCCACTAAGGCTCAAGTTGAAAAGCTATGGTACTTTACCCACAGCCTCCTCTGGGGTCCAGTAGCCAGAGGAATCACACACTCGCCGAGAGGAAGCCCTGTGCACGTACTGACGGAACATCCCATCTTCTGTGCAGGCACCACACACGCTGCCTGGGGCCCTGGGGAAAGGAAGCAGTGAAGGTGGACATCCATTCTGCTGAGCTGGGACAAGAAAACTGAGAAGACCCAGGGGAAGGGCCTCTTACTGTGGGAGGCCCTAGAGGGCAATGGAAGCACAAGTGTTTGTCAACTCAACTTCCTCCTTATACAGATATCAAAATTGCAAAATTCATAGTGACATCAAAATCTGAAGGCCATGAAGGAGAAAAATTTAAGTCATAAAGGAGGCCTGTGGAATGTAAGTGGGTAGCTTCTGTCTTGGGAAAACTAAACACAAAACAATTACAATCTGAATTGACATAAAATTTCTTTCTATACTGACTGTTGATAAATTATTAAAGACCCCTTGAATTTTCCCCACTAAAACAGACAGTAGTTTTCAGAGTAAACATTATTTCAGACTCCCTATTTTAATTTCATACATAAAATAAAAGTCTGTGAAATATAATGTCCTTCATGTCTCCACTGCCTATGAGGACATATTTGAACCCCTCCCCACAACCCAAGGTATAGCACAAGTCAGCTCCAGCCTCCCCTGCTGCAGTTCCTTCATTAGAAATGAAGGAATGGTATATTTCCATCCCAAAGAACATATCATTATTCCATAAAGACATAGCTCCATGAAACACGCTGTCCCCCACTTCGAATGCCCCATGGCCTTTCCGAGCATCTCTGTCTGGCAAACTCCTATTCTTCAGGGGCCATTCTAATGTAGCCTTTGCAGGGGTAAACAGGCTGTTTCCTTTAAGTGGCCAGCTCTCCCTCTGTGCACCCACGGCACCCACTGGTTCCTCTCCTAGGAGTCTGCTCCGTGRTGCTGAGAATTTCCATTTAACTTCTTTCCTTTGCCGCTAAGTAAGTCCTGGCTTATTCTCTTTCCATCCCCAGCAGTCAGTATAGGGACCAGCTCAGGAGTTTGGGGAAGTGCTTGTCTTATAGATGTCTATGAAATAATTATTGGTTAATGATTAAATACAAGCACCATATTTGAGGTAAGCAGAATAAGTGGAAATAATAATAACTAAACAGCAAAGGAAAATCACTTGATAAGGCTTGTCTTTGGTACTTGGACTGCTTTTAGAAGCCCAATTTTGAACAACACATCTGAAATGCAGGTGCTGAATCAGGAACACTCAATAGGTAGCATGTTAATAGCATATATTAATGTCATATTAAACATCTTACAATGTGCAAGAGAAACAGTGTTGTTAAACAAAGGGCATAGTTATGGCAGCAGCTCCCATGTATCAAATGCCYCCCATACCTGGCTGTGTGCCACATGTACTTCCCATAAATTATTTCTAATCCCTGTAACAACCCTCTGTTTACAAGGGAGACAATTCAGGCTCAGGGAAGCTAAGTAAATCGCCCAAGGTTACAAGTTCCTTAATTCTTTCAAGCAAGAGCAAGTTCCCAAACACCGTCTAGTGTCTGGTGCTTTGGYAACTAAGAGGTGTAGCTGAGGCCCCCGCTGACTCCAAGTAGAGCTCACTCCTAACGCAGATGCGACTCCAAACCACATGTCCCTGATGCACTTGGCCCTTCCGGAGCTGCTCCTAGTGCGTAGCTGGGGCTCCTTTCTGACATAAGGATTCCAAATACCTACTGGGGTAGAGTAAACATAACTCCAGGAATGACACAAATCACCGGGCATGTGACGTGAGTCCCCCCAACACGCGTGTTGGGAGGCCTCAAAGCTAGCCCACCTAGCTAAGGAAAGGAAGCAAATTGCAGTCCTTTCTGCCAACAGGCTCTCAGCACGCCAGCTCTGATGTCTGCTTTATCATAACGCTTGTACCAGAGAGAGAATTGAAAGATTAAATTGTTTACATGTGTTACATAAACTGATGTAAAACTCCGGTTTGCGCATACCCACAGAGGACTTACTGTTCAGCCAGTCCAACCGAGGCTGCACAAGGTCACACTTGCAGAAGGATGATTCTTAGACACATCGCATAGATGTGAGCTGAATCACCCAAAGCAGCTCGGGGAAGCCTGGCTTCTGATGGCAATGCAGACGGTTTGGTAGGGTTGTGAGATCTCAATGATGTCATGCACTGAATGTGGATCAAGGTATCAGGGAAAAGGGCCAAGATCCCAGGAGGCTGAGAGTAACACTGAAAAAGGCCTCAGCAGCTCTGTCCTCTCTTCATCTCTCCCTGTTCTCTTTCCCAGGCTTGCAGTAAAGCTCCAGGGACAGTCAACTCGGTAGCTGGGCCCTGACACCCAGCGGGGAAGTATGGCACAAGGATTCAGAGAGATCATCTATTTCGTGTCCCTCGTTTCTGAATTTCCAGTGGATTCCCCCAGTTGACCTCTCTGTAGTTATAGGATCTCAGACTGGTTGTGTGTATTCTCTAAGCCTATATTTTTTAAGTAGGAGTTGAGCCTACCACAAGGACTACATAGGACAAGTACAAGAAAATAGCTACACAATGCCTCTCCCATCCCTCACGCAGATGTCATTCATTTTCTATGCTTTGTTTTTTGGCTTTTTTTTTTTAAAGAATAATTACCCTGACATTCATTTATGCCAGTACACAAAAAAAAAAATATAATCTAGTTTTAGGTCTCATGTTTTTCTTCAATAAGCATGTAGTAGGTGTCTATTGCAGCAGGTCAAGAATCAAACAAACAAAAAAGTTCCTCTCTTACTCTTAGTCATTGCTAGATGAGTGAGGCTGACAGGAAGACACAGCTAATAAGAGTTCCATAAGCTAGTGGTTCTGGGGGTGGGAGGAAGGCACAGGGCAGCAGGAGGCAGAGATGGTAGAAGAGATGCTACATATGTCAGTTGAGCCCTGATGCAATGCCCTGTGGCATGTTGTGCATTCCTATTCACCCATCTACCCGCCCAGTGGAAGCATGCATTCCTCTCTCCCCAGACACCACTGTGAAAGTAGCAAGCCACTGATGCATTGTCCCACCATGGAGGCAGGGGGCAAATGTCCTCTCAGTTCCTCCCATTTATCCTGATCACATTGGCTGGCCTCTTCAGGCCCCATCCTGAGGAGCAAGTGCTAGAAGAACAGGTGCTCTACTAAGCAGCCAGAATGCAGCAGGCTGGAAGAGGCAGCCCCAAGTGGAGAAGCCCATATACATAGTCCCATGTGGGGATTCCCCTTGCTTTACATTCTTCCTCTCCTACAAACCACTGCAAAGAAAATGCTGCAGCTCACCTCTGGCGAGCACCCCTCTCACCTGTCATATACAACTCCACTAATGGGAGGCAGCCAGTGGATAGTGAGGGACTTGTGGGTCTGCCCAATGACCATGGGTGGGATGGGAATGGGGGTGGGCTTTCTGCTTTCACTCCACTGCTGATAAACAAGATCCAAATAGCAGTGCATTCGGGCCACTTGGTTAGGGGTGAAGCTGTCAGTGCAGTCATCATCTGTGGGGAAAAAAAGAAAAACACAAATAATAGAGGTTTCAACCTGCAAACCACCAAGGCAGGGACAAATCCTGTCTTCTTAGTTGTTCCCAGCACCTAACCCAACACCTTGCACTTGTTAGGTTCAAAAAACACTCTTTGAAAGAATAAATACATTATGTTCCAGAAAATAACTAAGTTAGAAGAGGAAGAGAGAAAGAACCTCCTTGTCTACAAGCAAGGCCGTCAACTAATGTTGGGCTGGCCCAGGTGAGATTGGCACCCTGGAGCATAGGCTTGCTCTGAGCAAAGATTATTTACTCAGCAAACCACAAGATGGCAGTGTTTCAGCAGAGGGCCTGAGCCTGGGGAGCATGTAGAGTTATAGACACCTGCTTTATTGCGCTGTGATATTGGCCAAGGTTAATGAATTCTCAGGGGGAGACACTGGAGGAAAAGAAAACTAAAGTGTCAAGGGAGCAGCAGGGATGGGAGTGGTGGCCCAGTCTTACTTTTGGAACCAACAAATTCTTCCTACTAGGTACATTTCTCACAGAGTTACAAAGGAAGTTCTCTCAGTTTCAGGAACCTTTCCATTTAAAACACCAGTCACACACCATCTGGCTTCTTCAGTGTTTCCCCTGCCCATCTCAAAGATGGAGAACTTTATATGGAGCTCTTATCTCTGCTCCACATCATCCAATCTCTTGCCTTGGCAAAGGCCACTATGTCCTTGCAACAAGGGAAGGCAGAGGTGTCAGTGCTTATAAATTCAATACCCCTGAATTATTCACCAAAATGCAACTTGGATAGAAACATCTTGGGCTGGGGATGTGGCTCAAGCGGTAGCGCGCTTGCCTGGCATGTGCGCAGCGCTGGGTTCGAACCTCAGCACCACATACAAATAAAGATGTGTCCGCCGAAAACTAAAAAATAAATATTAAAAAAWTYYYYTTWAAAAAAAAAAAAGAAACATCTTGGTGGGTCACAGGAAGAACTGGTGCAACACTCTTCCCTTCAAAGCCATGATGAGGGTCTGATGATCCTTTTATGCATAGTTCTAGAAATAAGAACCTGGAACTCAAAAAAAAAATTAACTTCTTTCACCATAAAATAGGTCATCAAATCAAATTAGTTCTGAATTTTTGGGGACAAATTTTCAGTCCATTATCAGTCTATTCCATATATTAGTGTTACTTTTTGCCAGAAACAAGGAAGACGTGAGAGACAGGAAAGAAGGAAAATCAAGGAGCTAAATTGAAAAAAAAAAAAAAAGCCATACAATACAGTTTTCCTAGGATGAAGAAGATACCATCTTAAAAATGAAATGCATCATTCTGGGCAATGTGTTGGACGGCAAGCTAAGTCAGTGTTCAGCCAGGGTTTGAGAGGAGAATCTGATTTTTTTTTTTTTTAAGAACAAAACAAAAGGAATCCTGAGCTTAAATGAACTAAATGGCCTTGTTGGCCAACTGTAAAAGTAGTACAAAGAGCCAACTTGACCCGGAAACATCTTTCATCCATCCTTATTGGACTCTTCTTTGGAGTAAAAGCCCCAAAACATGAACAAGAACAAGAATCACCAAGTTCTAGAAGTTGAAGAGATCTCAAGAGGGCTTTTGGCTTTGTTTCATTTTTACTGTCCAAGAAAGAAGTGTGCTTTTCTTTTGCTCTCTAGTGGAAAAGAATCCATTCAACAAGACCCCTTAGTATCTCAGTATTTCAACAAGATTCTTCAAGGACATGGAAGAAAAATGAACATCCCATAATAAGTACACTTCAGTTTTCTAACATTTCAACTCTCTAACTGCTTGGTAATCTCTCTGGCCCCTACTCCTCCACCCTGCCACCCCCCAGAAGCCCTCAGGTTATCTTAATGAAAAACAAAGGCACCAAGTCTGTTGGGGTACCTGTGTAGCTCATGTAGTTGCTGAATGGAGCCCCTGGGAAGTGGCTGAAGCCACAAGTGTCATTGGCAGGCTCAGGGTCCTGGCATAGCTTGCTCTTGGGAGTGGGGGCAGTGTCGGCACAGAGGTCTCCGGTTTCCATGGACGGCACCGTCTCCCTGCAGGGATCATCGCAGGATTCTCTTTCACTGACCCCTTTGAAAACATGGTAGAGTCCCAGAACATGCCCCACTTCATGGATCATGATGTTGGTGTGGCCAGGCATGCCATAATAGGCAGGATTGAGGACAACACCACCTGCAAAGGAAGGTTTGAAAAGCGTCTCTCAGCAGAGAATGAACATCAGTCCTCCCTTCAGTCTTTGATCATGTCTTCTGATCAAATCTCCCAGTTCAGTCTCCAGGGAGATACTTAATAAATAACTTCCAGTGGTACCCAAGTGTTGTGCTTCCCTCTCGTCATGAATATCCTCAGAACTAATCAATACACATTTCCTTATCCCCTATCTAGGTGAGTGTAGTCCTAGATATCAGGGATATCAGAATGAACCAAACAGCAAAAAGAAAGGCCAGGATTCCCAGCCCTGGCAGCACATTAAAATCACCTCTGGACATATAAAAAGTTCAAAACCTTTACACCAAAAATCAAATAACCCAATTAATAAGTGGGCAAAAGAATTAAACAGATACTTCTTAAAAGAAGAAATACAAATGGCTAAAAAAAACTTGAAAAAATGTTCATCATTAGCATTAACTGCAGATATTAGTTTCAAATGTATATATCAAAATGACACTGAGATTTCATCTCATGGCAGTCAGAATGGCAGTCAACAAAAATACAAATTATAATAAATGCTGGAGAGATTGTGGAGAAAAAGGAACACTTTTGCACTGTTGATGGGATTGTAAATTAGTACAACCTCTATGGAAATCAGTTTGGAGGCTCCCAAAAGACTATGCACAGAACCACCATATGACCAGGATATACCACTCCTTGGTATTTATCCTGAAGAATTAAAGTCATCTTACTGCAGTGATATATGTATCCCCATGTTTATAGCAGCACAATATACAATAGACAAACTATGGAATCATCCTAGGTGTCCATCAATGGATGAATGGATAGAGAAAATGTAGTGTATATACACAGTGGAGTTTTATTTAGCCATAGAGAAAAATGAAATTATGGCATTTGCAGGAAAATGGAGACCATCATGTTAAGTGAAATAAGTCAAACTGAAAAGGTCATGGGTCATATGTTTTCTATCATATGCAGAAGCTAGAGAGGAAAAGAAAAGTGGAGATAGATCTCCTTAAAATCAAAGGGAGACCAGTAGAAGAAAAGGATCAAGGATGGGAGGCAGGGATGTGGAGGAGAAGTGCTAGGGAGTTGATGTTAGCCAAATTATACCATTTTATTATGTATGTACAAATATGTAACAGCAAATCCCATTATACACACAACTATAATGCACCAACAAAATGGAGAAGAAAAATAAAATAGACTGGAACAAAAAAAATACAAAGGTTCAAATGCTACTCTCAAGAAATTAAATCTAAATATCTGGGGATATAATTCGTGCATCAGTATTTGTTTTTAATTTTCCAGGTAGAGAGCCATGTGTGGCAAAAGCTCATGGATTTTGGAGCCCAGGAAATTAATGTCTGATACTGGCCCTCTCCATACCTGCTTTGAGGACATCTAACTGGCCTCTGAGAACCAGCTTTGTTGTTTGTAGAATGGGAATGATCACACTATTGTTTGGATTTTTTTTTAAGCATTTGGCACATTCTAGAGGTTAGTGAACGACAGTTGCCTAAGCTGCTTCTGATTTCATCACCACTATTCTCAAGGACCTAACAGCCAGAGAGACAAAAGCTGAGTCTTGCTACCATGGAACTACCCCACATTCAGAATGTTGGGCACTGCAGGCACATGGCCAAAACTCACTCTCCAAAGACCTCCATGAGGACACCAAGGGACGTGTTTTTGAGAAGAGGTATCACATTTAGCGGGGCTTAGATGAACGATACAATGTGTCACTGTCACCTTACAGAGAAAAGGCAAAAGCCCTCTGAGTGTCCAAACTTCTGTCTGGTTGTTAAAACCCTAATCTCTATTTCCCTCTTCTCCCCAGGGTTGAGCCGTTGGACTTGACTGGTTTTCTTCAGCCCTCCACCGGGTCAGGATCAGATTGAACCTCATCTCTGTGCTGGCTTCTTTCCTTATCTCCAAGCACTCCCTACATCACAAATTGGGTTCATAAATTCTGATCTTGGGTGATACTTTCTGAAAACAGCAGCATTGTTGATGAAATGCATTCAAGAAAAATGCAGTGAGCCATATTTCTCCTGAAAACTTACAACTTCTATGAAAATTTGTATTAAAAGCTCTGAAAAGTACTGCAGTGATTTTGTTTTAACACTGTGCTTACCAGACTTATTTGAACATACAACCTGTTTGGGTAGAATACACTTTGATGTCTCTGGAATACAGATTTCTTCGAGCATCACTCAGGAAACACTATAAAAGATGAACAAACTCCCATCGATAATTATTTTTTTTCACATGTGTCTTATCTCAGAGAAAACCTCAAACATTCCCTCATGCTATTCCTGGACCAGCCTGTCCTTTTGTGGAGAAAGTAATTATAGATGAACAGATAGGAGGTTCCTGAAACAAGGAATAGAAAAAGCATCAGAACCCACAGTGGAAGAATGCCCCAGAGTATGGCTTTAGGGACAGTCAGGGGAAATGTAGGGGTGGCCATTACACTGATGGGCTTCCTGCTAATGGCAGAAGTTTCTGCCTAAACTCCAAGTGAGATATTTCCCAGTCTAAGGATATTTTGCAGAGGGGGTTTAGAGACAGCTTTCAATAGCCAGCGTGTATACAAGTGGAGCAAGAACCTGACAAGGCAAGCCCTGGATACTCCTGCAGGTCCCTTCACACCCAGGAGAGCAGGCCAGGTTCTCTTCCATGCACCCTTGATGACCCTTCCCTAAAAGGAGAATATGGAGTTAACCAGACAGGACATAAATTTCAACTAAAAACAAGCATCTTAACACATACTTGCAATAGCTATAATTTTTATTTCAGAGCTATAGGGTTTCTGCTAAAAAGTCATCAGTGTGGCACATTTAATAATGAGCTTATAGCTGTGTGTGTTATACAGAATAATGCACAAAATTTAGAAATGTGTGAAATATGGAACAAAATATTGCTCTAATTTAGGGATAAGTGCTGTGCACATCAGTACATTTTAAGAAAAACGTCCAAGGTCCTGGGCCTCTTGTAGCCATTCTACCTGTTAGTGTACACAGTCATGAATCACCAGACTAGAGATAAAGGCACTGGGAGTGCGGTCTTGCCCTGACAAGCTTAATGGCCTTGGTCCTATGCTTCAGTTTTCTCTAGGTCTCCTTAGCTAAAACAAGAGGGGCTACATTGACTTGTTAAATTTTTCCCTATTCTCATGCCAAGAGCTAACATGCAGGACTTTGTGAGACCATCATAAATACCACGTGAAGAAGTCTGTTACCATGGACCATCGGCCCTCTCAGCCTTATAGTCTGTGTTCCAAAACTTAGCAGCAGATAGAAGTAGAAAGCTGGGCAGGAGATGTCAGAATTCTACCCTCAGGTCTGCTGAAGATTTTCTAGTGGCCCCAGTTGGCTGCCCATGAATCCTAACCCCTTCCCACCTTTATGTTCCCATCTCCTCTCCTGAGAGAAGGGGTCCCACACAGTGCTCATTCACCTCTTATCCTCCCCCGCAAAACAAACCACCGTTGTTGAATTATTAGGAGAGTGTGTTTAAATCATTCCCTCTCTCTCTCTCCTCTCCCTCACAAACTCACACACACACACATACACACACACACTTATATCCATGTGGGCAAGAGAAAAGTGATGATTTAGTTTAGAAAAGTTCTTTCATGTTTTAATAAAAATCACACACACACGTATCCATGCCAAAAGCTGAGTGAAGCATAAAGACTTATTGCCCAAAATCTAAAAAGAGGATTGAAAGAACTTCTTTTCTTAATTATTTAAAAAAATAATAATAATAAAGAAGGAACAAGACTTAATAATAATAAATAAAAATGAAATTCCCAGATGTCCTCCCACCATCTGGGTCCACAGGGAGGGTCTAAGGGGCTGTGCATTTCTGCCCTCTCAGGGAAAAGTATAATCCTTTCCCAGAAGCAATACTGGGGCTTGGGGATGATGGAACAACAGTAGAACATGCCTCTGGCAAGTACCATTTGATATCAGCATTCACACAGACCACCATCCCCTCAACACTGACACCTGCAGCCTATGCTTTCCACCAGCTGCAAGGCCAGCCTCAGTAGTGACCAGCCGACCTTTATGACCTTTACATCAGTGTGTGGAGGCTGTTCCACAGATGGTTTCTGGAATGATCAGAGTCCCTTATTTGGCTGTAAACGTTCAGTGGAAATGTATTGATCCTTACCTTTGGGGACATTCTTAAAAGCTCTTGGAGCTATTTCCTGATCTATTCAATAGTAATAACAAGAGTTCCTATCTCAAAGGGCTGTTGAGAAGATTAAAGTAGTAATGTTAACAAATGAGCATTAGGTTTATTTCCTAGAGCAAAGCAACATAAAATATATATTAGACATTCGTTGACATGATTACAATTCCATGATGCAGCCAGGTAGGAAGTGCTCATTTGCTCCATCCCTGGGGCTCCTACCTAACCAGCTTCCTTCATCAGGAGAATGGAGGCTGGCCTGGCTGCAGGCAGGACAGATCTCTCAAGAGGAGGGCAGTCGTTCCAGGGAGGGTGGGAAAACACCTCACAAAAGCTTGATTTGCCCCTAAGCTGCTAACCTCGCTTCCAGGTTGCTCTGATGCTAGACTCATGGGCACCCAGAAGACAGGCAGGCCTTGGTCAGGCCTGAAAATAGACAAGTTCCCTTCCCTTCAGACATCACAACAGGGTTCAAATCATCCCTCACAGCCTGAACYAAGTGACTGTGGAATGAAACGCAATCTTATGGATCTGGGTCTGTTAGGGTAATTCTTCATAGATCTTAATAGGAGGTTAATTTACACAGGATATCCTTGTTCTATAGCACCAATAATTTTCCTTCTCATGTGGTTATTTAGATAGAATATAATTATCATTTCTTATACTCCAAACCACAGTTCTTTTTTGTCTTTCTTTTGTCTTGGAGGATAAAATGAAACCACAGGTAAAGGGTACAGTAGGGATGGGACTCCCTCCTCTAATGGGACACCTGTACTATGCTCTCTGCTCTCACCTGT